GTGAATCTGTGTAACCGCTAATTGGGGCTGCTCAGCACATCCGTAAAGCACACTCCTTCCAAATACCTTAAGTTTGACATATGACATTTCAAACCGAGTTCTCTCATGGAGAAATCACAAATTTTTTGGCTCCCTTTACATTTTCACAGGTTTGGTGCTATTTTATTGGAGATTACATATGAGAAATAACATCTTTTCATTGTTTCTAGCCTTCCAAGGTGCCCACTCCATCCCTGCCAGGGTTTTATGGGCACATTCCCGATTCTCACTTATGGAAGAGTCAGTGATGGCACATGTTGCATATTAATTCCTGAGAAGTTTGCATAAAGGAACAGTCGTAACTTTAAAAAAAATCATTTAGGGAGACCAGCCTGAGCAAGAGCAAGGACCCATCTCTACAAAAAATAAAAAAAATAGCTGGCGTGGGTGGTTCGCCACCTGTAGTCTCTAGCAGCCGTATAGCTCTCAGCTACTGTGAGACTGGAGGCATGCCATGATGTGGCTTGGGCGCAGGAGTTTGGAGGTTGCTGCTGGAGCTATGAGGAGCCCACTGGCACTTTAGCTGGGCCAACACAAAGACTGAAATTCGGCTCTCAAAGAAAAAATCGAGTGTACTTATGTAAGCTAGATCACAGCAGGAAAGATTGTTAAATCAAACTAACGACCTCTTAAGTGTCCACAATATTCATGACATAATATGAAGAAGTGCCACCGGATGGCTATTTTCTTTTCTTGGGAGGGGATTCTAGTGTTTTTCAAGAGATATCCGCACATGTCTTCTCAAGTAAATCAATGTTCTCCTGTCAGCTGACTCGTTTCATGCAACAATACATTCACATTGCCATTGGTGGGAAAGCTGTGTCCACAGGAGTGCTCCCAGAATCATACCCCTGAGATTGTATGCTAATAAGCATCAGTTGCCTTTTTCTTCTCTCCTTTCCCATGGCAACCACTGGCATTCGCCACTTATGCTGGAAAGGTCATGTGACTTCAGTTGAATGTGCCATGTTTATGGGGTTCTGTGAGCAAAATACAACCTGCATTAGCCAAATGAGTCTAAAAATGAACAAGATAAACACATCACATTGAAGGGTCAGTGTTCTCATTTTAAAATGCAGTTTTAGAGCTCTGTTGTTTGGGCTAGAGTGTAGAGTGCAGTGGGGCATATCATAGCTTACAGAAACCTGAAACTCCTCAAGGGATCCTCTTACTTCAGCCTCCCATATAACTTGGGACTACAGGTGCTCACTACCACACCCAGCAATTTTTTGTATTTTTTGTAGACACCACGCTGCTCTTGCTCAGCCTGGTCTCGAAGTGATCTCCTGGTCTCAAGTGATCCTCTTACGGCCTCCAAAAGTACAAGGACTCATGGCGTGAACTCCCGCACCTAGCCTTAAGCAAAATATTTTAAGTTCACTAGGGATTCAGGAGAAAGGTGTTGGAAAAGCAAACAACGGGGAAAACATTTCATTTGTAAAAATTTGAGAAAACATCTACTCCTTTTCTTCCTTCCATCCTTTCCTTCCTCTCTTCAAATAAAAGCACCAACTGTGTCTATTTTTTTACTCCCACAACAAGCTTTGAGCTTGGCAGGGGAGCAGCAAATACTACTCTCTTGGAGCGCTTTAGCTGAATCGCCCCATTACCGTGCGAAATTGCTACAGGATTTCTGCCTAATGGGAGGCAGGGGTGAGCCATGGGGGTAGGAGGACTCCGGATTAATTGAAACTTTGTTTCAACAGTCATAACATCTTATTTGTGAGTGTGAAACTTTTGTCTTCTCAGAATTCACTTTCCTCCTTTTTTTTTTTTAAAATTGTTGGAGTTCACAGCCTTATTCTCATAGACAGTGGGCTACATATATATATAAAATGCCTTAACTCTGTAATGTTCTTGCCAAATGGTGTCACTTCATTCCATGTCCGCCTGTCAAGTCTGCAAATGTTTCAAGAAAGAGATAATGTTCCCATAAATATTTTTGTCTTTTAATCCTCAATTCTAGGTAAAATCCTCGATTCCTTCAACTATTCTTTTTAAAACATGATTGCAAGTCCTTTCACTGTCCTATACACACCTCTATGTCTTTTCTTTCTTTCTTTTCTTTTTTTTTTTTTTTTTTAAGGCAGGGTCTCACTCTGTCACCCAGGCTGGAGTGCAGTGGCACAATCATAGCTCACTGCAGCCTTAAACTCCTGGACTCCAGTGATCCTCCTGCCTCAGTCTCCCTAGTAGCTAGGACTACAGGGACATGCCATCATGTCTGGCTAATTTTTTTTTTCTTTCTTTCTTTCCTTTTTTTTTTAGAGACAAGGTCTCACTATGTTGCTCAGGCTGGTCTTGAACTCTTGGCCTCAAGTAATCCTCCTGCCTTAGTCTCCTAAAGTGCTCATATTACAGGCATGAGCCATGCCTAGCCATATGTTTGCTCTCTTAATGGTGTGCCTATCTTTCAATAAGAACTGGATTGTTGCAAAAAAAAAAAAAATGGTGTGCCTAGCATAGGAAATCTTCAGATGTGGCCAGACTGGCATAAAGTGGCTCAGATCAGTCACCTCTCTTACTCTCAACATCATTATGCTTCTGTAAGTATGGCCTGTAATCATCTCAGCACATCTCTGTCCTCACACATTAACCTAGTCGTAAGTCCTTTGCACGTGTGCTCTGAAAAGCCCACTTCGTGCCTGTGCACTATACTTGCCTTTTATTTCCTGTTAACTTTTATCTTGCAGGATTCTCCCCATTACTCTGGCCTGTCAGGCTCTTTTTGGATTCTGATACTGACATCCTCTCTATTTGCTGTCTCCTTTGGCTTCATGTCAGCTGCAGAGTCCTCAGCTTGTCATTGTACTCAGCCAAGTCATGGGCAAAATGTTGACCAACAGCCTGTGTAAAGTCTTGCCTCTGGGTTCCCATGGATCCAATCAATGAGAACACTAAGGTGGGTGGATTGGTTCTGTTCTCACCCAGCTGACATTTCTCCACCTAATTTGAAAGGATGTAATAAAAGATTTGGCTGAACTCCTGTGGCTACAGCATTTCCCTTTCCCTACCATCCAGTGGCCTAGATTTTAAAAGATCACCCAACAAGTTAGTGGCTGAGCTGAATCGCTGTGATCTCTGCTGTCCAAGATCTCCCAGTCTATTTGGAGACATGAGAAATATCCACCTGATATACAGTCAAGAGCACTGGTTCTAAGGAAGTTTTCTATTAAAAAAAAAAAAAAAAAAAAGCACTGGGCTCTGGGATACGAGAAGAGAGGGCTTTAGAGTGACCAGTTGGTGATCCAAACTTAAGAACAGAGCTGCAGGTGAATTAAAACCTCCTTAGCTGAATCTGCTTGGAGTATGACATCTCCTTTCCATGATTTTTCTCTTCTGAAAATTGCAGAAAGTATATTTTCTTTAAGTATGGGCTGATAATCATTTCAAACAGTTTTACTCAGACTCCATGAAATCTCCTTCCCAGAAAGGTTGTTATAGTTCGCATGGACTGGCTTTAAGGCAGATCTGGCAGGAGACTGGGCCAGATGGCTATTATAGTTCCTATGGCCACATTCCTTTAGCAGTGAGGGCCAAGAAGAAAGGCATTTGTTTCACGTATCCGTGAAGAAGTTTCTTACATTAGTGCTGCTTGGTGAAGGAGGTTCCAGCCATATCTTCCCACCTGTGCCTGTGACATGCTTTCATATTACTTGTGTATAGCCTAAGAAGGGAGGAAAAGAGAAGTTGAAAATGGATCTACCACTATGGTTTTAAGACTTTTCTTATGAATTCTCTCTTCTCTCAAGTAAAGGGATTTTTTTTTTACATGACTAGTGAAGAATACTAAACATCTTGTTAGCCATGCCAAGAAGATGGTCATCTAGCATTTTAAAGACCATTTTAAGAAGTCATCTTTTAGTCCCTGCTACTTGGGAGGCTGAGGCAGGAGGATTGCTTGAGGCCAGGAGTTCAAAGCTGCAGTGAGCTGTGATCATGCCTGTCAATAGCCACTGTACTCCAGCCTGGCAACAGAGTAAGACCCCCTTGCGAAAAAAATAAAATAAAAACAAAAAGTCATCTTTTTGCTGGGTGTGGTGGCTCACGCCTATAATCCTAGCACTCTGGGAGGCCGAGGCAGGTGGATTGCTCCACGTTAGCAGTTCGAGACCAGCCTGAACAAGAGTAAGACCCCGTCTCTACTAAAAATAGAAAAATTAGCTGGGCAATGTGGTGTACACCTGTAGTCCCATCTACTTGGGAGCCCGAGGCAACAGGATCACTTGAGCCCAGGAGTTTGAGGTTGCTGTGAGCTAAGCTGACACCACGGCACTCTAGCCTGGGTAACAGAGTGAGACTGTCTCAAAAAAAAAAAAGAAGTCATCTTTTTTCATAAGCAATTTATTGAGCATCTATAAAAGCATGTTCATAGTTTATAATTAAAAAACTAGAAAAAAAACTAAATATTCATTCGTAGGCTAATGTGTTACTTCTGTAATAGCTTCTATACTATTGAAATTTTTGATAACAAAAATGTGTTCATATTACTTGTGCCAAGTTATTGCTGTAGCTGTCTAAGTAGTCCCCCCCAACTGTTGTTTTTGCCTTTTATAATCGTTCTCACTGCTTTCTCAGTGATCTATTAAAATGCAAATATGATGGCGGCATTTCTAGGCCTAAAGCTTTTTATGGTTTGTTCCTCATTGTTTATTCATCACCTTCCAGGCTCCTCAGTGTGAGCAACAGCCCTTCGGTATCTGTCCCTGCTCTCCTTTGCAGCCTCATCTCCCACGCCAGGGAATCTGCTTTCCAACCACACATTGCTTTCTCCATCCTCAACCTGTCAGCTTCTTTCCAGCTACATGGCTTTGCACTTGCCTTGCTCTCTGCTTTCAGTACCTTCTTCCTCTTCTTCTAAAATCAAACTCAAGCATTACTGTCCCTCTCCACCCCCAGCAAAGTTAAGCCCACCCTAATATATTCCAACAGCCCCTCTGGGCTCTGCTCACCTGCATGAACCTGTCTGTATTCATGCCTAATCCACCTGTCGGCCCACTAGGACATGTGTTCTTTGGAGCTGAGAGGTGTATTCATCTCTGTATGCCCCACTCAAGCAAGGACCCTATTGGAGGTTAAATGTTGAAGGAATAAATAAATTAATAAATGAATCTATGTACAATTTTTCTAATGCTTATGTCTACTAGTTCCTTCTGTTTGCTTTAGCCTGTACTCAATCCTTTAAACCATATTTCACACATATAAAAATTTTGGGCTGGCAGAACAGAGATCCCATGCAAAATGTTCACTCTTAGGCTCAAACCCTCCTAGGGATGGCCTAGCCCTGTGCATAGTAGTAAAACCCATCTGTGATCCTCAGCTCCACGAGGTCTTCTGCCTTGGAGGACTTCGGCTGGGATATCCTATGTCTTTGGGGGATTGGAACCATCTCGGGATTTGATCCCATACTCAGTCCACTTCGCTCTTCTCATTTGTTTTTTTTTTTTTTGAGACAGAGTCTCGCTTTGTTGCCCAGGCTAGAGTGAGTGCCATCACCAGTGAGCGTCAGCCTAGCTCACAGCAACCTCAAACTTCTGGGCTCAAGCGATCCTGCTGCCTCAGCCTCCTGAGTAGCTGAGACTGCAGGCATGCACCACCATGCCCAGTTAGTTTTTTCTATATATATTAGTTAGCCAATTAATTTCTTTCTATTTATAGTAGAGAAGGGGTCTCGCTCTTGCTCAGGCTTGTTTCGAATTCCTGACCTCGAGCGATCCGCCCGCCTCGGCCTCCCAGAGAACTAGGATTACAGGCGTGAGCCACCGCGCCCGGCCTTCTCATTTGGTTTTACCCCTGGCTGGCACAGGTCTCTATTGTATAAATCTGTTGCCAAAACAATTTCGAAATATGAAAATATTACAAATCGTGAAAATGATTTCCTCTAGGATGCTTTATCTGCAAATGGATGTGAATTTGCCTCGGGAGTAATTGCACAAGCTCATCAAAGCCCTGACCGCTCTGTGAACCCCAGCACTTCTCATTCAGTCCCTATAGTGCTTCCCATTAGTCCTCTACAGCCCAGCTGGAAACAAAGCCCCAGAGCAGGTAGGCTTCTTTAGTCTATAATTGATACATAGAAAAGAAGATATATAACATGCATGTAAGTTTTGGAACATAGCAGTGTTTCTTGTCTTTCTATACCTATCACCTAGAAAAATTCATAGTACAATAAATATAATATATGTGAATAAATGAATGATTTTTCTATAAATAAGTGAGCCAGAAAGACCAGCATCTGCCAGATAAAACATCCATCAGTTGTCAGACAGCTTAAGGTGTCATTCCAAGGTGAACTGAACTTCCCTTCTAAATGCATAAGAACCAAATGTTATTCTACTTTCCAAACTGATTCTTTCCCTTCTGGTCTACCTTTCAGAAGTTTAGCAGTGTGGCTCTTTCACAGGGGTATGTAGTGGAGACAACACGGTGTGGTGGAAAGACCACGGACTAGAGTCAAATGACTCTAAAATGGCTTCACCAATTTATAGTTGCATGAACTTGGGCAAACTACACAACATCCCAAAGACTCAGTTCTCTTATCTATTAAATGGAGATAATAATACCCACCTGCTGGAGTTATAGGGAATGAAAATGAAATAACATCTGATGTTAGTTACTTTCTCACATTATTACAGATAAAGAAACCGATTCTAAATACTTCTAGATAGAATTAATCCGAGCCCTGCTATTGACGACATACAGAAAGGTTGCTTAAAAGCTGCATTTGCAAAGGGTTGCCATCTGCCTGCAGGTGTCTGCTCTCCTCTTGAACTCACGTTCCCTTTCAGCGGCATCTCTCCTTGATTGCTTTATAATGCTTTTTACCTTCTGTGGCAGCTAATTCCTACACATGGCTTCCTGGAGTTTTGTCTTTCACATATTTTTGCTGAGTCACTTTCGTTTTCAGCTTTGATTTAATCCTAGAGACAAATCAATAAGTAACTATGACTCTCTCCCAGAAAGAAAAAAATAAAAGGGTGAAAAGAAAAAGGAACGCTTTGTGGGTAGTTCTAGCAGTTCTATTTGGTCTGTACACGCAGTCCTGACTTCTGGAATAGCCTCTGTATTCTGAGGTGTATTTACAAAGCCAGACTTTTAAAACTCACAATGCCAGTTCCCACAGAAATGAGGTTACCTTCGGTCATTGGGTCCTCAGGGCAGTCCATGAGAGTCTGTCTAATCCAGAATGTTGCCGGTCTGATGCTTGGGGTGTATTGTTCTGCTCTTGCCAGTAACTCTTCGACCCTGATTCTGAAAGCGAGAAAGGGAACTTTGTGTTCCAACGCCCGGTGCCAGGGACACAGCTCTAGCCTGCTCCCTGCTTGGCGGGGCCGTGGCTAGGGTTAGGGCTGTGCCAGGAAGGGCGCAGGGGAGAAGGGCAGATAATCCTGGGCAGCAGGACCAGGACTTCAACTCTCTGTCTCAGGACATGTCTCCAGTCCTGTCACTCCCCACATTCCCAATAAGGACTAATAGGAATAGTTACGACATTTTTCATCCTTAGTGTCTTGCTAGTCTCATTTGGAACTCATAACAACACACTCAGGTTAGTCATTGTTATAATTTTCATTTAACAGGCAAGAAAAATGAGGCTCAGAAATTAATAATTTTTCTAAGGCCAGTTGGGGGAATGGGTGTGAAAATACACTCAACTGTCACCTGATCATGGATGTGTTTCATGAGGTCACCTCCCACATTTGCTAGTTCATACAGTTGTTTCCAGGCAATATAACTTTGTTAATAAATAAACAGTCATCCCTCAGCATCGATGGGCATTGGTTTGAGGACCCTCCTCCCTGGTGGATACCCAAATTCATGGATCTGCAAGTTCCTAATATAAAATGGCATAGTATTTGCATAACTAACCTACACACATCTCCCATATTCTTTAAATCACCTCTAGATTATTTATACCACCTTTTTTTTTTTTGAGACAGGGTCTTGCTCTGTGTCCTTAGCTAGAGTGTAATAGTGTTGGCCTAGCTCACAGCAATCTCAAACTCCTGGGCTCAAGCAATCCTCCTGCCTCAGCCTCCCAAGTAGCTGGGACTACAGGCCCACACCACCGCGCCCGGCTAATTTTTCTATTTTTTGCAGAGATGGGGTCTTGCTGTTGCTCAGGCTGCTCTTGAATTCCCAGCCTCAAGCAATCCTCCCGCCTTGGCCTTCCAAAGTGCTAGGATTACAGTCATGAACCACCCTGCCTAGCCTTAGTTATAATACCTAATACAATGTAAATAGTTGTTATACTGTATTGTTTTTAAATTTGTATTATTTTTTATTGTCGTATTGTTATTTTTATTATTTGGGTTTTATTTTTTGAAGACTCTATTTTTAATCTGCAGTCGTTTGAATTTGTGGATACATATAGAATGCCAAGAGTATTTATTTATTTAATGAACACTTCATAGTGCTTCTAGGTGCCAGGCAACTAGAGTGTTACTAATGTTAGACCATTTAATATGGCTCATTTATAAGTCAAGGTTTGATTTCTTTTCTTTCAAAAATTTTAAACCTGTGCCCCAATCTCTGTGGAATCATCTTGGAAATGGACGGTGACTTTAATGTCCCCTACAGTACTTGTTTAGTCAGATATACTTGAGCTTAGTCAAGTGATCTCTGGCTCTTGTATTTCTGGTATCTGATGAGTTGCTTTCAAGAGTCAGATTCTTTGCCAAATAGTTTACATGTGATGTCAGCCTTTATATTTGCAAACCCAGCAGGTCTTTCCACCATAGCCTTTCTTGTTTGAAGACAAAAATATAAACTGTCTCTAGCCAAACCTAAAGTGTGAGCCAGTGGAATCTGTCTCTGAATGAACCCTCTATTCTGAGTCCAGCAGTTCTGTGCTTGTTAGCGCCTAGAGAGTATTTGACCAGCCTCTCGAGGCAGTGTAGCCTAGTGGTTACCAGGCTGGGCTCTGCAAGAGGACCTCTCCTGGCTTTGAATCCTGGCTCTCCCGCTTTCTACTGTGTGATCTTTGGCAAGTTACTTGCCTGTCTGTGCCTCAGTTTTCTCACCTGTTAAATGAGGGTGGTAGTAGAGCAGACAGACACAATGTCTTGCTGGTATTGGTGTCCCCAGCTCTTAGCACAGTACCTGGCCCAAAGTAGGCAGAAAATGTATGTTGAACCAGATTGAACGAGCTCTCCAGAGATATGCCTCTTGAGGATGGGCCCTGCGTGCTCTGGATTTGGGCAGCTTCCTTGGTTTACAAACCTCTAGACCTAAATGGGACTTTTTTCTTTTTCTTTTCTTTTTTCTTTTTTGAGCTGACATGCTCAATAGCCCCAGACTTGAGGAAGCTCAGATGCCCAGATGTTAAAGTCTTCTTTGGCTTACATTACGGTAACAAAGACACTAATATATGTTGATTTTATTTTACTAGAGTCATTACAATGAAAAAACAGCCAGTTTATCCAGCCTATCCCCTTTTGCTCTGTGGTACCTTCACCCTTCCTTGTGCTCAATTACAAAAGCAAATGGATATTATACTTTTATTTTACTTTTTTAATTTCAGCATATTACAGGGGTACTAATGTTTAGGTTACATATATTGCCTTTGCCCCACCCAAGTCAGAACTTCAAGCATGTCCATCCCCCAGACAGTGTGCACCACACCCATTAGGTGTGAATATACCCATCCCCTCCGCCCCCTCCCACCTGCCCAACACCCGATGAATGTTACAAAAATATGGAACGCTTCAGGAATTTACATGCCATCCTCGTGGGGGGGGGGCATGCTAATCTCCTCTGTATCGTTCCACTTTTAGTATATGTGCAGCCGAAGCGAGCACAGCAAATGGATATTATCTCGGAGGTGGAAAGTAAAAAGGATTGATGGGTGAGAATTTAGAAATAACATCCTAAGCCGGGCGTGGTGGCTCACGCCTGTAATCCTAGCTCTCTGGGAGGCCGAGGCGGGCGGATTGCTCGAGGTCAGGAGTTCAAAACCAGCCTGAGCAAGAGCGAGACCCCGTCTCTACTATAAATAGAAAGAAATTAATTGGCCAACTGATATGTATAAAAAAAAAAAAAAAAAAGAAATAACATCCTAACTTTGGAACATAATCAGTCTGGGACCATTGATTCCAATTCATTTTTATTTCCTGTTAGAGAGTGGTGGAAGTCTGGAGTGTTTATTGTTTTGGGAGAGTCTTAAAAGGATCATTTGACTTGGTTTCTTATGCAAACTCTGCTCACCTGCTTAGGTGTGGCCCAGGCAGAATGCATTCTGGAGACCTTGTGCTTGAGAGAGTTGTTTTTAGGGCTGAAACCCAGTCTAATCTACAGCCCTAAATGGAGGCACCTCGTGGTCACCATCTTCTTCCTTTAAAGAGGTATTTAGAGTTTGGACCTTGAGGAGACTGGGAGCTTTTTTTTTTTTTTTATGATGATGATAAAAGCAGGAGGCTGGCACAGATAACTTCTTGAATCCTCTTTTAGCTCTTAAAAAAGTTATTGGACACCTTCTATTAGCCAAGTGCCAAGCTAAATGCTTTTATGTACATTATCTCATTTAGTTCTCACAACAGTCTTAGGGAGGAGGTATTATTACCTTATTGTGCAGATAAGGAGAGCTTAGACTCCAAAAGGTTAAGTGATTTGCCAAGGTTACATAGTTCCCAGGCAGTTAAACCTCACTCATTCAATAAGTATTTATTGGCGGGGCGTGGTGGCTCATGCCTGTAATCCCGACACTTAGGGAGGTTCGGGCAGGAAGATTGCTGAAGCCCAGGAGTTTGAGGTTACAGCGAGCTATGATCACGCCACTGCACTCTAGCCCAGGTGACAGAGCAAGACCTTGTATCAAAAACAAAAAAGCATTTATTTAGCCCCTGGCATGTGCCAGGCACTGGAATAAGCTCTGGCAATACTGACATGAATGAGAAGTGGCCAGGCACTCAAGCGTTCACAGTCTAAAGACAAAGATGGACCTCTAAACAATTCCACAATCTGGTGTGGCCACTGTGAGAAAAGGACAGCCTGAGAGAATGGGTAAGAGCACCCCGGAGGGCAGGACCCCCTAAATGAAGCTTAGAGGACCAGTGAGCACTAAGTTGTGGGAGGGATGGAGAGAGCAGGAGAGAGCATCCCAGCAGGGGAGACAGGTCAGCACAGGCAAAGGCCTGGCGCTGATAGCAGCACTGTGAGCTGTGGTGATAGCAGCACAGTCTGCAGTGGTCAAGGACGCAGAATCAGCACAGGTGGGGGACGAGGCTGGCCTGGTCCGCAGGGGCCACGTCGTGACAGACCTTGTAGTCATGCTTCTCCTAAGATCCACACGCTCTTCCCCTTGAAGCCTGTGCTCTATCAAGAAGAGAGTCGGGCCGGCGCGGTGGCTCATCCCTATAATTCTAGCACTCTGGGAGGCTGAGGAGGGAGGATCACTCAAGGTCAGGAAAACCAGCCTGACCAAGAGCAAGACCCGTCTCTCCTAAAAATAGAAAGAAATTAATTGGCCAACTAAATATATATAGAAAAAATGAGCCGGGCATGGTGGCGCATGCCTGTAGTCCCAGCTACTCAGGAGGCTGAGGCAGGAGAATTGCTTGAGCCCAGGAGTTTGAGGTTGCTGTGAGCGAGACTGACGCCACGGTACTCTAGCCTGGGCAACAGAGTGAGACTTTGTCTCAAAAAAAAAAAAAAAAAAAAGAGAGTCAATGACAATCCAAAGATTACATGGAATAGTTATTCTTATGTGAAAGTTTAAAGCAGGTAAACTTCTAGGGAGGGAAGAGGACATGTTGCAATCCAAAGAATTATTTTCCCTCTAATAGGCCCCTGGGCCATCTCCTAGAGGAGCAAGTATCTGCCTAGACCAGCAGTTGAAGAGCTAGAACAACACAGCGTGTGATCCTTGGGGATCCCTCTGAAGCCCACCCCTGTGGCCAGGCTGTGATGCAGCAGTTGTTAACTCCTGCCTCCCAAGAGCCCCCACCCTCCCACTCTGGCTCTGTCTCTGCCTCTATTCTCCCCTCCTCCCCCAACTATCTGTGCAGCTCTGCCCTCTGTCTTTGCTCTTCCTTCTCAAACCTTGCCTAGGGTGCCTTTTTTTTTTTTTTTAGGGACAGGGTCTCGCTGTCTTCCAGGGTAGAGTGCAGTGGCGTCATGATAGCTCAATGCAGCCTCAAACTTCTGGGCTCAAGTGATCCTCCTGCCTCAGCCTCCCAAGAGGCTGGGACTACAGGCATGCACCACCATGTCCTGCTAATTCTTTTATTTTAGGTACAGATAGGGTCTCCTCTTGCTCTCAGGCTGGTCTCAACCTCCTGGCCTCAAGCAATCCTCCCGCCTCAGCCTCCCAGAGTGCTAGGATTACAGGCGAGAGCCACAGCGCGTGGTCCCACCTCTGCCTTTGGACATGCTGTTCCCTCTTCCTCACCCCATTCAGCTGTCTGGTAGTGTCCTACTAGGCCTTTCATACTG